TTGTCACATGAAGATGGTCAATAATGTAGCAGGCATTTTCTTGTGATGTCATTGTCAGTTCTGAACTACAATGCGACCAGCCTAGTTGCAGTAGAGCTTCTTGCAAAAGAGAGAGAGTCAGCATTGCTGTGTTCCGGTTTTGAAGGGTAAGGGTGCTGGTGAAATTACAGGCACATGGGATTTGTCAATTTATGTGTCAGGGTGACGGGCACAGTGGTAGTGCCCCTTAGATCTTTGCAATTTAAAGCTCTTAGTGGTACAGTAACTGTTATGGACAGGCGTGCAGCTTAACATCATGCGCACGTCACTTGATGTTATAAAAAAAGCCTAAGCAAGCTCGCCGCGGTGCATGCGGTTGAGGTAAGGTTGGTTTTGGGCGTTAATTGGTGTTTTCTCAGTCGCATAAGTTCAAGTTCTTATGATCGTAACGGTGTTGTGAGAAAGGCCAGTTTGTGATGAGCTGCGTTGGGTATGATGATGGCGGTTCAGGCTCTGACGGTGTGACCTCCTTAAATCGTCGTCCTACCTTTTTATCGCCTTCTCTCCGTATCCTGGCAACTCGTTTTTGAATTTGAATCTTTCTTTAATAATTCCTTTGCCTCGCCATTCTGATTTTGTTTCGTTTCATCGTCACTGCCTGCTCGAACGCGGCAGCGTAGTGTTATTTCAATTAATTGCGTCTGATTTTGATTCCTTTACCAGATTTGTAATAGTTACTAGTCATGTGCCAATATTAATACCAATCTGTAATTCGGTATAACTCGGCGAATTAAGTTAGAGAGTGTTTTGTAGTATTGTACATGTTTTATATACCTTTTTTTATAACAGCCTCTTTTATCTCTTCACCAACTTGCAATAAATTTCCGTCGACCTGAAGTTTTTTTATTTTATTGCCGTGAACCTGGTCACGGCTCATTGGGGTTTTCTACCTTTTCAAGGCTGTTGGTTAGTTATTTTTGGCGATGTTCATTAATTGATCGTTCTTTGTAATAAGTTGAACTATCATTGACCATTTTTACGGTGTCGCCATCTCTAAAGTTCCGAGTTCGATCCCCGGTCGGACCAATGTAGAAAAAACTGTTTCTATATTGTCCCGTGTCTGGGTGTTTGTGGTACCGTCGTTGTTCCCAATGTCCATAACAAAAGTGCTTTTGTTACTTTAAATGTGTATTTCAGATTGATGTGGATTGGTGGCTGGCGTAGGACGAGTAGCGGTAGCATATTGTTGTATGTTACATGCGAATTAAGTTGTATGTTAAATGCAATATTTACTCAAACTAGCTGCGTGCACGTTGCACGTGACAGACCACACTTCATGCGATCCGAACACCCTGTAGGTGCGAATTTGAGGCCTAATGGAGTACCCATAGAGTACCTCGCTTGGGCTGGTCGCTTTGTGGTCCAGTACCAACAATGACGTCAAGAAAGAAAGAAAGAAAGAAAGAAAGAAAAGTATTTTATTCAGCACAATACACGTGGAGTACAATATTAATAATTAGTATTAAAAGTGTATTATTGCACTGAAAAGGATCCAACTCAGCTAATACTGCGGCAGGGCCACAGCGCTGGTTTTCAGTGGACCCTTTTCGAAAATGCCGATTTAAAGAAATAAAAATATATGAATAAAATAAAAACAAACGTGGACGCGAGTTAAATAAAAACTTAAACATGAAACAATATAATTAAATAGGAAACGTAACATAACACAAATTTCAGCTAATGTCCCAACAAAGATTCACTCTGCTTTTTCTTTTTAATTTTGTATTTTGGAGGCGCATTAACACAAATAAAATTGTTCCAGACGTGTTTTGTAGATTTAGAATGTGCTCTTTGAGTTGACATTTGAACGCATAAACGGATTGTCATGTCATTGTCACGTCATAAGAATATGCACGCTCAATTATGAACCTTCTGCTTGTGTCAATAGAGTTGATTTTCAATGTTAACATTGGCCCAGAATCGCCAATTCCTACTACTAATAAAGATACAAAAATACTAAATATATCAAGATATTACAGAGCCTTTAAAACCGTCATATTGACTGAAAATAACATTATCAGAACCACTTATGTGATTGCAATCCACGTACAATCGCACACAACTTACGCAATGCAAAAAAATATAAAAACATACACTTAACAGCATAAAACTGTAATGATAAAATACGAAAAAGATATGAGAAAGATTTAAAATTTGCATAAGCAATATTTTATATAGTATAATAATAGTATATGAAAACGATTTTGCAATGAAAATTTAATTTTAATATCACGCACCTTGAGTAAATGGCCCAGTGGGATAAATACTTGTTTTTTTGGACATGAATTTCTAAGCTACGTAAACCTTGTAAATAATTAGTAGAAATCTTTCGTAAATTTTGGAAGAAAACATGTTGGTGTATACAGAGGCGTAGCGTCGATTTCTGACGCCCGGGGAAGGTAAATTTGCTGCATCCTCTATTTTCACGGTTACAAAAGTAGATCCTTCGGGCAGGCTCGACTCGATTGTGTTTTTATGTTCGCCTGCCGTCGTCACTTTCAGGATATCGTTTTTGTTGAAGTACTGGCTAGAGTGTACTTCGTGTTCTATAATCAAAATTTATATTGTTTTGTATATTTCAAAAACTTGCTTGTCATATCGCCACTTCAAATAAAATCACTAATTAGTAAGCAACGTCTTTCCGATTTTCTCCATGAAAACGCCACAAAACGTTACCAGCACGAAGTTTCGTCATTAAGAAAATTTAGTAGTGTGGAATAAATTGTTTTGCTACCTATGATGCTAAGGCTGCCTTTCCACAAAACATGTGCGGCGCTGTGTGAAACGGTGTGATGTTTTCCATTTAAGCAGTGCGAGGTAGCGTAGTTAGTGTCATACTTTCAGTAGCTCTAGATTTCTAAACCGTTTTGCACATATTCCTCGCCCACATCCCTCGCACTCATTTCTCGCACACATCTCTCGCTATTGTATATGCACAAATACTTAGCTCCGCTACTAACCCTTTTCCACCGGAGCTGCTCTAAGCTAGCGAGGAAAATGAAGTAATCCTATTGGTGGATTTTTTCACACTGCTTCGCTACGTAGCACATCTCTGGTGGAAAGGCAGCTTTAAAGGTTTTATACTGAAATTCTTAGCAAGGTTTTTTTGAGAGTTTTGATTGTGGGTGAGTGTTCATTTTATTAAATATTGGCTAGAGTGTTCTTCGTATTCTGTAATAAAAATTTCTATTCTTTTGTATATTTCTAAAACTTGCTTGTCATATCGCCACTTGAAATAAAATCACATGATTTTTTCTCCACGAAATCACCACAGTTTTCTCAAAATTAAATAGTGGCATTTGTTTTCTAATTTTGAGTAAATAAATATATATTTGACTAGTTAGGGGCCGAGCTCTCCCCCTCTGCACCCCTTCTTCTTCTTATCTGCACCCCTAACGCTACGCCACTGGATGTCCAAGGGTTAAACATGTATGTCTACTATTATATTAAGAGACGAGACGACCAAATGATAATGCCTATCGATAACGGTGACCACTGCGCCTTTTAATGTCATCCTTGCTCTTCAAAACCGGAACACAACTTTACCGTTTGGCAGCAGAGAGAAAGATGTCAGTTACTGACAGTAACTATATATTACAGACTATTATAATCACAAATTATTAATTGACGCGACGAATAAGTCATGCGTTTGGTGATGAGTGACACGCCTCACTAACGGTTGCAGTGCCACTCAAAAAAATTGCAAAGTCCTGAGGGGCACTGCCACTACGCCCACTCTCAGACATAGAGTTGACAAGTCCCATTTGCCTGTAGTTGCACCGGCTTACATTACTGCTTGGCAGCAGAAATGGGTAAAGTGGTTGTACTTCCATGGACGAACTCTTTCACAAGGATCTCTTCTGCTGTGTCAGAAGCATATCGGATGAAGGTTCATGGTTTCTATCTATCCCAGTTGCAGACAGGCGTGAAGTTGATGCCATTAAGTCTAAAATATTTTCAATATGAAAGTCGGATTGCAAGTGTGCCAAGGACTTCAGATATATCAAACGCCCTTCTAAAACAGGGTTCCAAAAATAGACTTGCTGATAAGGCCAATTGTTCTGCAGTATATACGATAAGGAACATATTCTTAAGTATGAAGTTACAGCTTTTATTGATGGATCTTTTAGGCAAATGTGTTGCGGGAACGAAGATATGCGTATTTTAGCGTGATAAAGATCATGGTACTATTCTAGGTATGACTATTAAGCATCGAATGCGCTTTCGCGATTGGAAATGAAGGTATTTTGTACTTAAGGTCATCAACGTAATCAAATTATACTTGAAATAAAGGTGGTTTGCATTTATGTTACACTCACGCACATACTCATGGCCCCGCTCTAGAAAAACCCTGTATCGCGGGTTCCATAGACACACACATAGACAACCACAAATTACACCCAAGCTCACGAAAGAACTAAATGTAGGCCTTATAAATATTTCTCCCGGCCTAGGAATCGAATCCGTGACCTCAGTGTGGAAGTCCAGCATAGTAACGGTTCGACGATGGAGGTAGTTAAAGACGTACCCGGTTGATCACTTTACCATTGATGCCTAACGATCGTGGGCGCTGGATCCCGGGTTCGATTCCCGGTAGGACCAATTTGTGAAATGAACTTTTCTTAATTAGTTCTGGTCTGGGAGTTCTGGGTAGTGCTCTGGAGTAAAATCCGTTGCTCTGGTACTCATAGTATAGGAAATATTCTTTATCGAGTTCTTAGGTTTTCGCGATTGTTACACATAGGAAATGAAACTATTTTTCCTGATTTAAATCGCGTATATTTGTTTTTTCAAACAAATATATCATATGATAGTTTTTATTAGTACAATTTTTGTGGTTTTTTTTTAAATACTATGGCATTGTAATATTTGTTTCCATCTCTATTATGTTTCTTAAGTCTTATGGCAGCAATCTTCCGTAATAATCTTAATATGTATTGTATTTATTGTAAACTGCGCAGGGAATTCAGGTAGCAGAAAGAACGCTGCCAGGAGAATTTCAGGTACGTTCTGAATAAGTCTATACCACATTACATTTATCACCATCATCGTCAACCTTTTGTATGTCCAGTGACAGGTTTAACCCCAAACCACCCTGGCTTAATGCGTGTTGTGGGGATTCCACAAAGGGTGCTGCCACTAAACAGTCACAAATATACGTAACTTAGAAATTACAGTCATAAATTGGTGCCGTAGGGATTCAATTCGTCGACCTCTTAGTTAAGAAACAACCGTCTATAGAACCTCAATGGCTTTAGTTGATTCCACATCACAGTGAGAGTGTTGAATCAATCACTTTAGAAAAAATATATAGGAAAATTGAGGATGTATACTGTTTACTATTATGTTGTGAAAACAAGATGGCTAAAAATTTTCACGATAGAAAAAAAAACATATACTTACCTCGAAATTTTTCAAGAAAACCGCTGTAGTCAATAGGTATTTTACATATACCCATTGACTTACAAATAAATGAACGACGGGTCTAATACAAAAACCACGAAAAAAATGTCCCAAGTCAACCTATTTAAACGTAGTGACATGTAAAGGAATATGAAAAAGCTAAAACGTTGAATTTAAATTGTAATGTCATCGCAGTACTGTCTAATTTTGCTTGCTTCGCTGTCAGTCGAACAAACGAAGACTAAAGCGTGAATGACGCTCTGTATACGATTTTAACGCCCTATAAGTTCGGATACTTTTTAGAGCGGACCCGACGTCCATATAATTGTAAGTCAATGCATATACCAATGCTTTTTTATATCAACTGAACTAAACAGAACGATATACGATGTACGTGTTTCAAATGGATTTAATTTTATTTAAAAAAACAAATTGTGAAATAAAGCCAGGAGTGGCTCGACCTAAGCAAAATCAACCGTATTAGTACGGGAAATGTTTTGAATTCGAACTGATGTAGAATAGACTCTTAATGGGCTACCGTCGCTTTATTAAACTCCAATACTCGACATAGATATCTCTAAAATAGGAAACTTTATCCTAGATTTATCTCTAAGTAAATTTCTGTAACACCCAGGAAGTTCCTTGGTTATATTCTCATTAGATCACTACGTATAATAGTTTGTTAAAATTTAAAAAACCTGACATTTTCCTGTAAGTAACATTATTTTTCTTAAAACTAGCTGGAACTTTTTTGAGTGAAAGTATTTATACCACACCACCAAGCATTGTTGTTAATTAGTTCTGATCTAAGTGTTTTAGGTTCTCTGTTCATAGTGCAGGGAACTTCTAGCTTTTTTCATGATATCAAGTGACGGGATGAGCAAGTCGTGTGACTCAATGGTGGTCAGCGACACGCCTGTCCATACCAGTTACAGTGCCACTCAGAGCTTAAAATCACAAAGATCTGAGACATAAGTTGACAAGTCCCATGTGCCGAGATTTGCCTTATGGATTTTTTTATTTTCGTTGAGTTTTGCTGAAGCCATATTTAGCTGATTTTTTGGACTTTCCTCTTACTTATGATATTTTCTGTGTTTGCAGTAAAATCAAAAGGCGTGACAGAGGGACTGGAAGATTTACAGATAAAAATAGAGTCTTTAGTTAAACTAATTGGCTTCGAGAAGGCCAAATACTACATAAAGGATGCTGTTGATGGTGAGTGAACATTTTAATTTAATGTTCCTTTGAAATATTTTTATCACGGAGATTGCAGTAGTACCAAACTTTTACAAATCACACACTCTAGTTTATTTCTACTGAGATTCGTAAAGTCCCAAGCAAAACATTCGCCTAGATAATAACCCCCTTTACATCATCATCATCGACGTATCAGCTGGAAGACGTCCACTGCTGTACGTAGGCCTCCCGAAAAGATTTCCAGACCAGCCGTTCGGACACGACGTGCGTCCATCGGCTACCCGCCACCCTTACCAGGTCATCCTTCCATCTAGTAGGAGGCCGTCCCACTGAACGCCTTCTGGTTCGTGGTCTTCATTCGAGAACATTTCTACCTCAACAGCCATCAGTTCTACGAGCTGTGTGGTCTGCCCACTGCCACATCAACTTGCTTATCCTGTGGGCTATGTCGGTGACTCTCGTTCTTCTATGGATCTCCTCATTTCTGGTTCGATCACGTAGAGAAATGCCGAGCGTTGCTCGCTCCATAGCTCGTTGAGTGACTTTGAGATTTTTTATAAGGCTCATATTATCAGAGCGTTAGTTCATCGCTGGCAACACGCACTGCTCGAAGGCTTTTGTCTTCAAGGACTGCGGTATTGCGAACGAGAAGACGTCCCGGAGCTTCCCGAAAGCTGCCCAATCGAGTCGGATTCGACGATTGACCCCTTTCTCGAAGTTGGCCCTGCCTAATTGGACGGTTTGTCTGAGGTGTTTACCTCAGACAAACCGTTAACAACATCGAGAGTAGAGGTTCCCACTGTTATAGGAGTGGGTCATACGACATGGACATTCGACATAAGTTTCGTTTTAGACCCACCTGCTGGGAAACTCTATTCTAACGATTCTGCCATGACAACGATATCGTTAACAAATCGAAGATGAGTGATGTACTCGCCATTGATGTTGCTGCCGAGTCCTTTCCAGTCCAGTAACTTGAAAGCATGTTCCAATGCTAGGTGAACAGATTCGGAGAAATGACGTTTCTCTGTCGCACTCCTCTTTGCAATTGGATAGGCCTTCTGCACTGGTCCTGGAGTCGAACTGACATAGTGGTGTACAAACATTTCAACACTTCGATATATTGATAGTCAATGTGGCACCGTTGTAGAGAGGCTGTAGCATGGCCCTAATCTCGATCGAATCAAAGGCTTTCTCACAATCCACAAACGCTAAGCATAATGGCAGGTTATTTATAACCCCCAGAGTGTGGAAGTGGTCTATGGTATTGAAGCTCTTTCTGAAACCGGCTTGGGGGGGTTGTGATGACTCGTGAAAACAGCTAAAAGCTAAAAATGGCTTGGAAGTGAGATAAGCTTGTAATTCTTCAATATAGTGTTATCTCCCTTTTTGAAGAAGAGTCACCACGCTTCAAGCGTTCCACGTTTCTGGCGTACCCCCTTTACACAGTCACTCAATCGCACGTGATCAGGAGAGTACATATGCAATCGTGCGTGATTACCTATTTCAAATATTTTCAGCTAATGTTCATTTGTTCGTGTTCGTTTTTGTTACAACGGAAAGAGCGTCTGTGTAAAGGCTAATAGCGCACGATAGACCGCGTGAAACTGGCGCATAATTTAGTGCGCGATTGCGCGATCATTCCCTTTTCTTTCCAACATCTTTATACGTGTGCTCAATTTGCTATATCACGCGCGATAGAGTATCTGTTGAAAGCGTGAGTATCTGTCCTTCCTATTAGGAACATGTTTTCAAATATACTTGAAAAACTATGATAATGGTTATATACATAAGAATATAATTTAAAATTTACCGGTTTTTAAAAGACAATTAATAATGTGGTGTGGCGTTTAATTTAAAGCGGTATAACGACGACCAAGCCTGTGGCTTAACAATTAACTCACTGGGCATTAATTGAGAGGAGGATCTCGGGTTCAACTCCAGGGCTAATTGAGGAAACCAAATTTTATAAATTGCTTCGAGACCGGGTTAAATAAAGCCATTCAATTTGTTAAGTACTTGTGTATAGGCACTTTCCTAGATTAACACTGGACAGTCATGTTATTTCTAGCATAGAGTTTTTTTTTACATTATGCCGTGTAAATAGTGAACTTTTTACTTTAGGTTGATTTTCTTTTATCAGATGCTGAAGAATATTTCGACGTAAAGTTACATGTACAAGGTAAATTTATATTACATTACGTCATCATCCTTATATATCCCACTGATGAGCGTGGATCTCCTCTAGGTAGAGACTATAGTTCGCTAATATGGGTTGGTTACATCATTTATTTTTCAACAGACATGAATCTACGATTACTTCGACATTAAAATCTCATCACGTTTGCATTGAAGCCATTTACTTCTACACTTATTTATACCTAAATAAGTTTACGGAAATTAAAAAATAAAGTCAACAAATATAAGAATTTTCTTCTAAAAATGACAACTTCAGAGGCCTTCAGAGGATTGTCGCCTTTATTAAACTTTTTTCAATTATTTTCAGTCAATAGAGATGGTAAGTACATATTTAAGAATATTTTGTACGGAACAACAGACCAAACTGGTACAGATTTATGAAGCAGTGTTACCATAAACATTGTGGAAAATGAAAATTGTAAATTAAAAATATATTTATTTTATAGGCAAGGAATTTACACTTGACTTGCTTACCATGCCGGATTGCACCGCATAGGTCCCAGGTTCGATTCCCGGGCCGGGAGAAAGATCTGTATGGCCTACATTTATTTATCTTGTGAGTTTTGGTGTAATTTGTGGTTGTATATGTGTGTCCATGGCACCCGCGACACAGGGTTTCCCTACAGCGGGACTATGTTGAGTGTGTGCGTTATAATTACGATTAACCATTACTTCTCAGTGCTCCTGAGGGTGTCAGTACATTTATAGATACGCAATTGCAATAACCCGATCAGAAGCCATATGCATGGTATAATAAGACAAATATAGTAACTCTATACAAACAGAGCAGCGCGGCTTGTATGTGTGCGCGCCCATCGCGCGCCGTGTATGGACGCACACATTCGCATAAACTCGCAGTGCACTCGAATAGCACAGAGTTAGCATCTAGTGTTGGGTTATGGAAAAATTTCCATTTTGAAAAAATCACATTTTTCAGGATATTTTTCCACGTTTGACGTTGACACCTGTCAAAAGTTGAAGTTACTGAACGAAAACGATCGAGCCAATAAAAAGGTTTTTTTTCACTGTTGTCCAAACATTTTAAATCTCGTTTTTCTCTAACTTGCTTTTGGCTAAGTATACATTCAAATTCAAATTCAAAATAATCTTTATTTCATAGGTAAGCATTATTACACTTGAAATCGTCACAATATTAAACTCTACCGCTCATTCGTAAGGCAGATTCCCCTGAGAAGAATGAGCAAGAAACTCTAGGGGTTGCTCTTTGTAAATAACATTTACAATATTTTTTTTTTATTTGAAACATCAGAGATCGAGACTACCTCCATGAGCTAAACGGGTTACTACCACGGATTTTTGTCATCCAAGTACGCAGAAGTTGTATAATAACCTTTAGTATAAAGTTTTTGTTTCACTATAGTTTTAAACCTCGTGAAAGGCAAATTTTGTATATCAACCGGAATCTTGTTATAGAAGCGTATACATTGCCCCTTAAATGATTTTTTGATTTTGTGAAGACGACTATCAAGAAAAGCTAGTTTATTTCTATTCCTCGTATTAATGTTATGTCTGTCACTACTATTTTATATATTTTATATTATTTTATATACATTTTATTTTATAATTCACGCTAAATAAAACTTCAAAAGATATTTCGAAACAAAGACGATAATATGACCTTCGTTACTTTATTCGAACTATATTTTTCAATTTCTCCAATTTTCCAGAAAAATTACCCAAGCAGTCGCATTTTGTAAAATTGAAGGGTTTGCTTGGCAAAAAATAGTTTTCTGTGTAAATTTATATTTTTTGCTTATAAATGTGTCGTTATGATATAAACCTGCATTTAATTTCTATTTCGCGATCATCATCTTACCATAATCGAGATACGAATCCGCGATGCTAGTATAAAAATATCACTATTTAAGTACCGCATGATGACAAAGATTATTTCAATATGACACGAGAATATCGGAATAATTTTTAATTTATTTCAAACCTGTAACTACGTAGCGTGGGTGCTCATATCTGTAACTACATATCGTGCTAGCAGTGCAGACTGCTAGCACGATAATAACACAAGTAAGGCAAGTAACACCTGTGTGAAAAAGTGTTTTTCGCTCTCAACGTATAGATATAAAGCTTTTCCTGATCGACTCAAGTCAATAGCATGTTAATAAGTGTGTTGACTGCCTCATTCGTAAGGCAGATTTCCCGAAAATAGAATAAGAAACTTTAAGATCTATCATAGGTTGAAAAGACATAGAAGATTATTGTTTTTTTTCACACACTCATAGCCCCGCACTAGGGAAACCCTGTATCGCAGGTTCTATGGACACACATAGACAACTACAAATTACACCCGAGAAATGAATGCAGGCGATACAAATGTTTCTCCCGGCCCGAGAATCGAGTCCTGAACCTCTGTGTGACAGTCTAACATGGTAATCGTTCGACCACAGAGGCAGTTTGAAACCTTAAATGGCAAATTTTGGGTATTAACAAAAATCTTGTAGAAGCATGTATTTATATGTTCTTCGTAAAATTATGTTTTTTACTGTTATAAATTTTATTTCCATTAATGTTCTGTGGTGCCAGTGTAAGCATGTTAGTTTATACATATCTCTTAGAGAAACACATGAACTCAGTTTGTAAATCGCCCTTAAAGAACGCTTCTGCAGTATAGAGACTCTTTTAATGTCATGTTCCCAAAGCGAAATGTATAATACAGAAGCATGCAATAAGGTTTGGCCTGGCAGCGATCTAATTGTATTTTTTTTTAAATATAATTAATCCGTTTCATTTTATTTAGGCCAAAATAAAATATTCTACAGACCGCGTACCAGAAATTTTCAGAAACCCACGACACGTTATAGTGAGTACCTTTTTACAGTGTCCCGTAGTTTCTATTTCATAATAAGGTGAGAAATACACTGCAAGCATCAGGGCTGCTGGATATGTTTTTGTTATTTTAATAGACCTTTCAAATTTTGACGTATCACAGTATATATGCAGAGCTGTCACTAATGCGTATCAAGATTGTTACTTTGAGCACAACGCGCGTATCATCATCACCAGGTGCAATTCGCAGAACGAAAAGCTTACCTTTTATCTGAATCTGGGGGTCTTCTCTCGATCTCCGTCTGACATCCGTCCGAAACAACTACTGTCAAATAAGTAATATTCGACAAAATTAAAAGACAAGTATCAAGCACGAAGCTTCATTCGCATCACGCGTCTTTTCATTTGGTCAAGTATTGCTTATTTGGCAGTAATTGTTTCGGATGGATGTCGGACGGACATCGAGAGTAGACCTCCTGATCAATACCACCCTATATAACAAACTCATTTATGCGTCCCACTGCTGGTTATGGGTCTCACTCAGGTGAGTGTTTAGGCTATAGTCCGCCACGCTGGTCCAATGCAGATTGGAAACATTACACATTTTCCGAGGGTTGTGAACCTTCTTCGACGTGCAAGGTCATAGTAAATTGCAAATTAAATTTCGTACACAAATTTCGAAAACCCCATGCTACTACCATTAGGCTGCCTTTCCACCAGAGATATGCGATGTAGCGGTGCGGTGCGAGGTTGCGTTACGGACTCTTTTCAGCTATGCATGGGCGGGGTACGGTGTGATAGGGTGAGCGGTGGCGATATGTCAGTGTCAGTTAGTTTCATACTTTCAGTAGCTCTAGTTTCCTACACCGTCGTGGACCATTCCTCGCCCGCATCACTCGCACACATTCCTTGCACACATCTGTCGCTATTTTGTATGTACCAATACTAAGCACCGGTAACCCTTTTCCACCGGAGCTGCGCTAAGCGAGGCTAGAAAAATGAAGTAATCCTATTGGTGGATTTTTTCCTCGCGCATCGCCTCGCTACGTCGCACATCTCTGATTCTTCACGATAAACTAGAATTTTATTTCAATAGGAGCTTCTACAGCGATTGAAGACCTGCCCTGGCTGCAAACGTATAAGGCGTTTATGAGAAATGGAAACGGGCGAAAGACGAACGTTGGGCTCAGGAAAGAGTTTATAAATACAGGTAACTTCTTTCTCTTATCTGATGATATATGCGCTTCATATTTCTCTAACCTCTACGGAACCTGGTCTCGCGAATACAGATTGTGTATGTAAACACTTTACCTGTACCACAAAATAAATATACGAGTCGAGATAAAATGATATCGTGGTTGCGTAGATTTTAAAGCATCGTAGGTAGACTTGAAGAAATTTATTGTACGATATTTACCTTTCAGAAATAAAATATACTCTCTTACACCAACACGGGAGAGAAAATTTTATAGAAATATTTCTAATAATAATCGTATGAAATAAATTTTTCTTAGGTGGACGAATTAAAAAATGAAGGTTTTGTAGAAATGAAGCTATTTTTTGGGATCTAAATGGCGTATACCTATTTGTTTTTGTTTTCAAAGTACTAATTCAAAATCGGAACGCAATAAGTCTCACATTACTGCTTGGCGGCAGAAGTAGGTAAGGTGGCAACACTTCCCGAATTCTTTCACAAGGTTCTCTACTGCTACTAAATGTAGTAGGTTTACATGCCATCGTTTCACTTGAAGCAGGATCGCACAAGATAGAACGGCACTGCGTAACTACTTGGGTACTCAATATGGCATCACGCAGCGCCTCTATTTAACAGAGTGGGTTACTGTTACTAACTGTAAGTGTACACAACATTGTTATATGGACAACAATTTCGTCTTTATAGCCCGCGTTGATTATACGTACAGTTTTACACGGATCTTATCAACCGCAGGGTTAAGACAACTTTCTACCGCCTAGTTTGTTTGTAGATCCAAAAAGCAGTTATAAATTCAAACTAATTTGTTCACTTTCAATAGGTTAGGGTACATTATAAATGTTGGTGGTAAAATTTAATTAGAACTTAACCTACTCAGCATTAAACAAAAGCATATAAGATAATATTAAACAATACGTCACTAAATTAAGTGGACTGACACAGGATATGCCATGATGGCGGATGTTACAATTTAATTAAATTAAAATCTGCATTATTTATTAGACATTAAGTTAAAATATACATGTAAGGTAAAGCTTATTTAATTAGATTAGATAAATAATAAATAATAATTAAAGAATGTATTCATCAACCAATTTAGTCTTTATGTTTCATAAAATCGTCGACTATGTAGAACAAGTAATATAAAAGCCACTTACGCAATTCTTTTTTAAAACCTTTTAATGGTAGGGGCGATAGCGATCTGGTGTATGATAAAAAATATTCCAAACACATAGCATAAGAGTTATTGTCTCTAGCATTACATTATTTGGGTTTCTTAGGGTCGTATTCTAGAACTCTACTCGATGCTCAAGTCAGGATTGCAATGGAAACACAAGGACTGGAAATACGACCCTAATGGCAAGGACTTGAGTATGATTTCAAGTGCTTTAAACCATACTCAAATATCCGACTTAGACATTGAGTAGAGTTCTAGAATACGACATTTAGTCTTCTAGCAGTTGTTTGTTTGCTATTATAAATTTTTATTGATTTAATTTTACAAGTATACCAAGCTCGAAAATATATAGGCATGAGAGAGGCAATAGTCTTAGCGTTTTGAAATAAAAGGTCAAAATTCCGTCTTGTATATAGTTGATACATATAACGTAAATGGCCGTGGGTACCACTTAGTTTCTCTTTAATATGAAACATAAGAAAGTCAGTTTTTTCCTTGTAATATTACTAAAATATTGATAATTAGCTAAAATTATTTTCTGAACTTTGACAAATATGCGTGTCAACAGATGGCTTTGTGTGTCACAAACTAATTTGTAAATTAACACTTCCTAATATGGGTAGATGACGATGATGTAGACGCTTCTATAAGCGTCTAATGAAGCTTCTATAAGGCGCCCTTCTATAATTGATGTAGGCACTAGAGATGAAGGTCTTATCTAATTTCAGCTTGTCACCGTGCTTATGATAACGAGGTAGAATTCTTTTCTATTGTTGGAGAATGAAATAAATAAATAAATTTGTCATCTGTATTTTTAAGTCTTAAATCATGATGTCGCCATCAATGAGGCCCCGGGTTCGATCCCCGGTCAGGTGCATGTAGAAAAACTAACTTTTTCATATTATCTCGGATCTGTTTTGTGTTTGTGGGTTTGTGGTATCATCATTGTTTCCGATTTCCATAACACAAGTGCTTTAGTTCTTATCAGAGCAATGCACGTGATGTTGTCTAATAATTATTTATTTACTATGTATTGTAATCACGCGAGAAAAATTCAATTCAGTGTTATTGTTAGCACACAACTTTGTTTTTGAAGATAAACTTATCACAACAGAGTGGCGCGTCTGTCGCCTTTTTGGCGTATCACAGCGTATCTCCGTAACATATCACTGACGCGTATCAAGAACTCTTCACGTGAAAACTATATTCGGAGTTCTGATACGCGAAACTGATATATGTGACTTAATATGCACGTTACGAAATGAATTAATCGTTCGATTTCGCGAGAAAAAAGCCTTTGTTATGGTATTTAATTTATTTAGCGTATTCTACCTTTGCTATACTTATGTACATGTTTTTATTTTCAACACTATATGCTTTTACAAAATGGTGTCAATACTGAACACTTGTTAATTTACGTATCTATGTCTAACGTCAAACAAGCCTGTCAAATTCTGAAAAATATTTTTTTTTTTTTGTATTTGAACGCAGTTTACTTTTAAAACTAAAATAATGGGCCATGTACATTGACTTACAAATAAATGGATGACGGGTCTAATACAAAAAGCACGAAAAAAATATCCCAAGTCAACCTATTTAAACGTAGCGACATGTAAAGGAATATGAAAAAGCTAAAACGTTGAATTTAAATTGTAATGTCATCGCAGTACTGTCTAATTTTGCTTGCTTCGCTGTCAGCCGAACAAACGAAGACTAAAGCGTGAATGACGCTCTGTATACGATTTTAACGCCCTATAAGTTCGGACACTTTTTAGCGCGGACTCGACGTCCATATAATTGTAAGTCAATGGCCATGTAGCAAAATATCCTATCTACAAAATTTTAAACATTTTTTCTCCGTGTACCATAGCACAAACACACCTGTTTATATGTAACGGAATTCATGAGGCATGACAAAGGGTTCGGTCCGGAACGCTGGAGTAAAATGTGCGTGGTAAAAGAATGTGCCTCTTTATTGGTTCTTTACAAAAAAAAGGCCAAACAAGTGGTCCGGTAGATACTTGTACACACGCTAAATAACTTTCAATGTGCTACAGAGAGCGCTGTACACACATCGAATACGAATCATAGGTACATTTTAGAAATAAGCTTAAAAGTACGTTACTGATTCCGTGCACGAACGGTTACCATGCTGGACTCACGCACAGGTTCGATTCCCGAGCTGGGAAAAATATATTGTCTACATTTATTTTTCTTCTCAATTTGGGTGTAATTTGTGGTTGTCTATGTGTGTGTCCGCGGCACCCGCGATACAGGGTTTCCCGGGGCTATGAGTTTGTGCGTTATTAATACAAGGAAAAGATTGCGATTTAAAGCTCTGAGTGGCACTGGAACTGGTATGGACAAGAGTGTCGCTTACCACCAGGCGACTTATTCGTCCCGTTACTTGATTTTTCAAAAAACAGGCTTCTTTCATGCACCACAACTAGGTTATCAAAAAATAGATATACATACGGCGTTCTACTTGTAAACTTTTTACTGAACAACTTAATTTCGTGAAAAGTATTCAGAGGATATCCAAGACATTTGAACAAAATTACGCAGTAATTTGCTGTTCAATTCTCCATTCTGTTTACTTAATTCTACGTGTACACAGCAAAATGCGTTAGAATAAAACAGTATTACAACTTTGTAATATAGTCGAAAATAGATAGTATATACAGTACAACTAACTTGGACAAACAAATAAATAAATATTAAACATTATCACTTACATTGTACTTATGTTATGGAAATATAAAAAATAACAACGACGGTACTATAAACACCCAGATCGTAGACAAAATAGATTGACCATCACAAGCCGCTCGACCACGGAGATCGTCAAATACACATCCTGCATATTATAATTTGCACGCCGTATGTCATTTATATTTACATTGTAGCAGTTAGCAGTTAGCTCCTTGTGAAAGAGTCCAGGGAAGTACTGCCACCTTACTTATTGCTGCGTTCTGGTTTCGAAGGGTGCTGAAGATGAAAAAGAAGGGGTGCTGGTGAAAATACAGGCACACGGAACAGTGGCAGATGCCCTCAGATCTTTGTGTTTTAAAGCTCTGAGTGGCACTGCAACTGTTATGGAGGGGGTGTCGCTTACCATCAGGCGCACGGTATCATAAAAAATAGTTCATATTCAAATATATTTATTCGTCAACATAGGTAGATACATTGAATTACATTTATTTACATAAATGTATGGTGACAACCATTGACTTACAATTATATGGACGTCGGGTCCGCGCTAAAAAATGTCCGAACTTATAGGGCGTTAAAATCGTATACAGAGCGTCATTCACGCTTTAGTCTTCGTTTGTTTCTTCTGACAGCGAAGCAAGCAAAATTAGACAGTACTGCGATGACATTACAATTTAAATTCAACGTGTTAGCTTTTTCATATTCCTTTACATGTCACTACGTTTAAATAGGTTGACTTGGGACATTTTTTTCGTAGTTTTTGTATTAGACCCGTCGTCCATTTATTTGTAAGTCAATGGTGACAACATAAGAATTATATACAACCTTAAAATAATCTATATTACTCGGTCTGCGTCTTGTGAATCGGTTGCTGCCCCAAATATCCATGACAGCATCGTTCTTCTGTTATAATAATTAAGACAGTTTAGGAGCTAAAAATTATGGCAAAAGGCTTGAAAAGGCGGGTAGAAGGAATTTTTTCTAAGCGTTCGATCTTTGTATTATACATATATTTAAAACAATTTTATTATTATAACAAAAAAAAGGTTTGAGAGTTGGTTTGAAAGGTCCATGGGAATGCTAGTGTGCTCCTGTGTTTTGCATCAGACTGGTATAGGGCTCTTACACATAAACACGATACGACGCGACGCCGTAGGATGACGCCAATATCCACGACGACAAGATGACTTTGTATTCTTCTGATGTTTTGTCCCATAGTACAGGACGCTCCTCGACTAGGGTTATGAAATAATCATCCCAAGTAGTCTATCACCTTTGAATATTAAATAACAAATGAATGCGGCTCTGAGGAGCGCACCGTGAGTCTCTACGGTACGACGTGAGTTTCTACGTTACCACGTCGTGGTACGACGTGACGTCGTATCGTGTTTGTGTATGCTTTCTTTTATAACCGCACAGAATTATCACCGTTTAGAGCGGGTCTATTTAAATATTTTTACATTACAAATGAGACTCTATTAGAAGCCCGAAGTCGAAGACTGAGAGTTTTCGGAGTTGAGGTTTGTAATTCCCGTTCCGCTCGTGAAATAAACAATATTTTTCATCATGCTTCAGATAAGACCCTCGGGCCTGTTTCTTCTTATTACCGACTGTAATACCGTTGTATGTTAGTAATATATTCCTGCGGGATTGTTGGTATCTTACAACCAATAACACTGTATATTATTGCACGGTATCACTTTAAAACCAAAAAACCGGCAAAAGTACGCATTCTTAAGTAAACGGAAGGGAAAATTACAACACCGCAATTCAGATGAGAACTGAAAAATGGTTAATGCCATTTAGCAGAATAAATAAAAAAATACTTATTTAAAGAAAAAAAAATATTCTTGAAAATTATGCCAGGACGCTACCCGGAGAAATATTGTCGCGCTTTTTGATTAAGAATGATATTAAGATTCTGCTTCATTCAGTTTATTGCTGCTGTAGTAAAAAAAGATATTGTACTGAGAAAATTTTCGTACTTATTGTTAACAGTTAGTGTACACAATCGCGTGGGATAAGATTGCAAAGTTTAAAAACATTCCGTACGACTTGTTTACATTTCGCTTTTATTTGAATTTCGTTTTCAAAAGAAACTGTCGTTCCATTTAGTAAATAGACGGATAAAATGAGAAATAAAATTATCAACAGCTATATTAATGATATCCTAAAGTTGGAAATTTCATAAAAATAGCATAATTTATTTTCACAAATTGACGGAACACTTATTCATAAGTGGGGATTCGTAATATGAAACATAAGTATATTTATTTGAATGTGTGTGTGTGTGTGTGTGTGT